AAGTGTTTTATTCTTTCACTTGGGACCTACACAGCAAGACTTCCTCGTTTTACTAAAAACTTTTGGTCCATAGCAAGGCTTGCGCCCACCATGGGCCAACGTGTTCGGCCATTGACTAGTAACTAATCAAGGATTCTCTATCTTTCGAATTAGGTGCCCGGGCCAACCATGGGCCAAAATGTTCTGCCATTGAGCATGGGATTCTCTATCTTTCGAAGTAAGTGCCCGGGCCAAGCATGGGCCAACATGTTCTGCCATTGGCCATAAGTAGTCAAGTATTCTGTGTCTTTTTTTTTTAACAATTTTACAATATGTTATGGGAAACGGGATCCCGAGGAATCCAACTTTCAATCCTGGTGATGATTCAACTAATGGTCAAGATTCAACTAATGGTCAAGTAACAAACCACTAGATGTGAGGCACCTGCGTCTTTTGAATTGAGTGCCCGTCTATATATGCATAACATCAATCATCAGAGTTCATGTATTGTATTCCAAAAAACCTTAGGAAGACTTGTGCCCAAACTATATTATTAACGTGCATCCATCCACAAACTGCAAATGTTTGGAAAGTGTGTCCAGTAAATTGTCTAAGAATAGATTATCAATTATGATTATTATTTTGATTCATGTTTTGAGGTTGCTTGGTTTATGCATGTGCATAAACAGTGAGAAGGCAGCACCAACACCACCATTAATTGTCCATTCACTACCAGCGCCATCAAGTGCACTACCACCGCCGTGTTCACCATCAATTGCCCCACCACCACCGCCAACAATTGCACCACCACCGCCATGTTCACCATTAATTGTCCCAACACCACCAGCACGATCAATTGCACCACCACCGCCATCAAGTGCACTACAACCGTCATGTTCACCATTAATTGTCCCAACACCACCAACACGATCAATTGCACCACCACCGCCATTAATTGCACCACCACCACCATGTTCACCATTAATTGCCCCAACACCACCAACGCGACCAATTGTACCACCACCGCGGTCAATTGCACCACCACCGCCATCAATTGCAGTACCACCGCCACCGCCATCAATTGCACCACCACCGCCACCGCCACCGCCATCAATCGCAGTACCACCGCCACCGCTATCAATTACAGTACCACCGCCACCGCCATCGCCATCAATTGCACCACCGCCACTGTCATCAATTGCACCACCACCACCACGATCAATTGCACCACCATCGCCACGGCCATCAATTGCACCACCACCGCCACGATCAATTGCAGTACCACCGCCACCGCCATCAATTGCACCACCACCACCACGATCAATTGCACCACCATCGCCACCGCCATCAATTGCACCACCACCACCACCACGATCAATTGCAGTACCACCGCCACCGTCATCAATTGCACCACCACCACCACCACCGGCATCAATTACACCACCACCACCACCATCAATTGCAGTACCACCGCCACCGCCATCAATTGCACCACCACCACCATCAATTGTAGTACCACCGCCACCACCATCAATTGTAGTACCACCACCACCACCATCAAATGCACCACCACCACCACGATCAATTGCACCACAACCACCATCGCCATCAATTGCACCACAATCGCCATCGCCGTCATTAATAGCCCCATCAGCAACGCCATCAATTGCACTACCACCGCTATTTCCATCAGTAATTGTCCCATCAACAACACCATCAATTGCACTGTCACCGCCACTTCCGTCACCGCCACTTCAGTCACTGCCACTTCCATCACTGCTAGAACGATTACAGTCACTACCACCACCATTGATTCCACCCCATACCTCAAATGGGTGGCGATCATTGGATGCGAGGGCGATGGTTCTTTTGAGCCTGCCCTTACAAATCGCTCTCTTTGTCTCGGGCAACCGTAGAAAGCACAGTGTTAGCCTTGCCAACAAATGGATTCTCTGGTTAGCCTACCAAAGCAAAGATTGGCTCAGCATTGCTGCTCTTGGTAAGCTTTCTAATTTGAAACTCAGCATTGCTGCTCTTGGCAAGCTTTCTAATTTCGAACTCAGCATTGCTGCTCTTGGCAAGCTTTCTAATTCCAAAGTAGATTGGGTCAACATGATTGCTCTTCACAGCCCATCCAAGGGACCTAAGCCTCCTTTGTACAAAAAACCTAGCCAAGAAAACAATTACGGTCCAGAAATCTCTAATATTTTTGCTTCACTATGGACTTCATTACTTATATTCAATCTCGGTGGCCCTGACACCATCACTGCCTATTCTTTTCAAGATATCCGGCTCTGGGCCAGACATCTCCTCATCTTCGTTGTCCAATGCTTTCTTGCCTTTTGTGTCATTATTTGGTCAGTGGACCAATCTTTAGTCCCAGTTTTCTCAATTCCTCTCTATTTTGTTGGAATCAGCAAACACATAGAGAGCATTTTGTGTCTTAAAGCCGCTAACTCTTTGAAAACCAAGCAGTTCGTCCTTAAAAATCCTGGTTTTCAATCTCAGCCATTAATAGAAAATCAAGAATCAAAAAAAGTCCTCCTAGGCTATATTTTGTTTGCAGCTATGAGACCGGACATCAATGAATACCTCTGTTATAAAGAGTATCCCCTGTCCTTTAAAGCGAGAATGAGAACCTATCTAAGGAAAACAAAAAATGAAGTCAAGTCAATTCTGCAAGGCTTGCTTGAAAGTGACGGGCTAAGGAGTGGTAATCATTTGACTCATTTCGACATAGCTGTTGTGGAACTGGGATTTATATTTGATGTTGTTTACACAAAAGCTCATGTCATTTATACTAGGAAAGGATGCATCATGCGTCTCATCAGCTTCACTCTTTCTATTGGAACTCTGTTTTTCTTCATCTTCCAGTTAGCATTCGGGGGTTCGATGCTGAGCCAAATAGCACCAGATGATGTTTTCTTAACAATGAGCTTGTTGGTTCAAACTGTTGCACTGGATATTTGTGCTATGCTCTCAAATCTTCGTTCTGGTTGGGCAGTAATTTTAATGTATAACAACTGTTCGGCACCCAAAATTCTCCAGTATGTCTTGCAATACTTTCCTTGCTTCTTAAGTCAACAGAAGGAGAGGTCAGCTTGTATGGGACAATTTGATTTGTTGGATTATTGCTGGAATTCTAGGATGGTCAGGGTTTATAGGTTTCTACAAAAGCACTGTAGTGGTGATATTCTTGAAAATTGGCTTAGGTCAAAGCATAAGAAGTTTGTGGAAGTTCCAAGCGATTTGAAGCCAAAAGAGGTTTACCAAAGTCGGCTAGATTCCTTCTTCGTCTCGAGTAATTCCTTTGAAGCAACAAGGGGGCAGAAGACGCTTGATGAACTGGGGGAGAGAGACCTCGAATATAGCATCAAAATCCACTTTGATGCTAGTATAATTGTCTGGCACCTGGCCACAAGTATTTGTTACCATCAAGATTTCAAGAATCCCAATAATGCTTCCAATGAAGCCATGAAGATCAGCAAATATTTATCAGATTATATGATGTATTTGCTGGTCATGCGACCTGCTATGCTACTGACTGACGATTGTCCGAGTTCCTCGTTGGATTGTGCTCTTAATGAGCTCACGGTCCTTATATCTGAGGCATCAAATAAGGTCCCTATATCTGAGGCATCAAATAAGGACGCTGCTGTGTATTCACTGTTGCAGGACCTGCCCGAAATCAGGTTGGTTTATTTATTTATTTGTAATAAATATAATTAAATTAACCAATATTTTTAATTAAACAAATCTTTTCCCTTTTCTCACTTAAGTGCCGAGACTGCGATGAAGGATCTGTCAAACATAAGTGGCGAGAATGGAATGAAGAATCTGCCAAAATATGCGGGATACCTGGCCACAAAATTGAAACGAAACACAAATAAATGGGAGCTGCTGAAGAAAATGTGGATTGAAATGCTTCTTTATGCAGCACATTCGGACCAGTATATAAACCATGTTAGGCAGCTGGGAGAATACGGACGAGAATTCATTAGCATAATCTGGGTCATGGGAAGCTATCGTGTCATACAAGAAGTGATAGAGGAGGCTTGTAGAAAGTGAGGAGTAGCCATTATGATCTCAGACTTCGCTGAAGGGAATTTATGGGTGCTCAGTGTTCTTCTTGTGTATTTGAGAAAGTGTGCCAGTCTTGATGCAATTAGTATCTTTGTTTCCTGTGCAGTCTTTTTTTTTGATGGTGTGTTTCTTGTGTAATCTAATTCTTGGACTTGAAATAAATATCAGACAATTGTAGATTCGAATTTTTTTCTTTTTCTTTTTCTATTGGTATATAATTCAATAAATTACAATTCAATGACTACAGATAATAATAACTAGTAATCAACAATTGATAAAACAAAATATAATTTGAAATAAATTACAAAGGATAACAATCCAACACAAAATTAGACAAGCATAAGGGACCAAATTTTTAAATTGTATTTTGTAGGGCACATTACCATTGATCAAAATACGGGATACTGTCAGTATGAGAAGTAAAAAGGGTACAAAACCAAGCATACAAGTACAACAAAAACTGCTTTCAAACATATACCTAAACATTCCCACTTATAATATCTCTCCACATCTTTACTATTTTCCTGGGAGAACATTGTGATTCTCCTTGCTCTATGGATGCACTTCGAGGACAAATACAATTTTAGAGAAAGGTTTTTCACTCACATACCAGGTAGAAATACACATGCATGATATCATATATAACATGGTACCTTTGTGTTCTATCTTGCCTCACATGTGCTCCATTCCTTCCTCCTCCTCCTCATATTCTCCTTCCTCATCAGCAGTAGCATCCTGGTATTGCTGATATTCAGACACAAGATCATTCATGTTGCTCTCAGCTTCTGTGAACTCCATTTCATCCATACCTTCACCAGTATACCAGTGCAAGAAAGCTTTTCTCCTAAACATGGCAGTGAACTGTTCACTAACTCTCCTGAACATTTCCTGGATGGAGGTTGAGTTCCCAATAAAAGTGGACACCATTGAGAGCCCTCTTGGTGGAATGTCACAGACGCTAGATTTAACATTGTTAGGAATCCACTCCACAAAGTAGGAAGAGTTCTTGTTTTGGACATTGATCATTTGCTCATCCACTTCCTTGGTGCTCATCTTACCCCTAAACATGGCTGAAGCAGTGAGGTAGCGACCATGCCTTGGGTCTGCAGCACACATCATATTCTTTGCATCCCACATTTGTTGGGTTAGTTCTGGGACAGTGAGGGCACGGTACTGCTGGGATCCACGGGAGGTCAGAGGAGCAAACCCAACCATGAAAAAGTGGAGACGAGGGAATGGAATCAAGTTTACAGCAAGCTTCCGAAGGTCAGAATTGAGTTGACCAGGGAACCTGAGGCAGCAGGTAACCCCACTCATGGTTGCAGAGATCAAGTGGTTCAAATCACCAACTGCAACATGTATTGAAAAAAGAATTATAGCAATTAACCCTAAGGATTATGTTGTTAGCAAATAATCATGTATATAACAGAAATAGAAACTGGTGCATTTCTATGGATTGGACTGATCCATTCAAAATGTGTTCAAATTAGACAGGAACCAGAAATTTTGACATTACAAAGCCCAGAGCTTTGCAGATTGGAAAGCATGGGTGTGGAGAAAATGAAATACCAAAAATAGGTGTAACTGATGCCATAAGTGATAAAAGAAATTACACCACAAGACAAAGCAAGAAAGACTTTCCATCCACCATCCAATTCATTCCCTTCAAAGCCTTTGGTAGATACGAGTAAGAGATTTTTTTTTTTTTTTTTTTTTGAGGTTTAAAAAATAATATTGTACCACATCTGGTAAAACAAAGCGTAGGATCCAATAAGAATATAACTTTGTGTAAAAGGTTATTACTCAATTATAACTTTGGCTACTGCATGCAACTTGCAACCCAGCCAATCAACAGAACAATAATTGAGATCAAATTTGTCAGGCACAAAAGATTTGCATTGTAATAAAACATAAAATGTAACACTAAAACAGAACCAGCCTGTCTCTTCCTGTTTACTTACAGCTTGGAGTGGTCAGTTTAAGAATCCTGAGCAGATATCATATAAGGCCTCATTGTCAAGCACCATGCACTCATCAGCATTCTCAACAAGCTAATGAACAGAAAGTGTGGCATTGCATGGCTCCACTACAGTATCTGACAACTTGGGCGATGGGAAGACAGAGAACGTCAGCATCATCCTGTCAGGATACTCCTCTCTAATCTTTGATATGAGCAAGGTACCCATACCAGAACCAGTTCCCCCACCCAATGAGTGGCAAACCTGGAAACCTGCATGGAATTCCATCAATTAAAGCTGTGATATTTAATCTTTGGAATTAATGGTATGAGCAATTTCTTAATGCCCTTGATACCAATAGCAAATTCTTTTCAGAATATTGCCTTGGACAGATAGAACATAGATCAATTTAAGAAACGTTAATCCCCATAAGTCATAACAACAAAAGGAAAAGGATTAACAGAAGGCAAAAACCCTCTTTTCCTTGATCTGTTCTATAACTTAACCAGAGTAGCATTGTTTTATTAAGCATTAAGTTCGCTTAACAGACAGAATTTTACTTGGATTTTTCTAATTTACTTTTGCTTTGCAAAGCATGCAGTAAAAATAAGACAGGCATAACTCAGCACACATTTCAAATTAGAATTTTTGCCTTTAAAGCCAAAACAAATAAGTCAATATTAGATAAATTCAAGCAAATCATTCTTCACACAAAAGGCCGTGTCAGAAGAAAACAAGAAAGAAATCTGAAGTTGAAGCATTTTACCTTGCAGACAATCACAATTCTCAGCTTCTTTCCTCACAACATCAAGAACTGCATCAATCAGCTCTGCTCCCTCAGTGTAGTGACCCTTAGCCCAGTTATTTCCAGCGCCAGATTGTCCAAAGACAAAGTTATCAGGTCTGAAGATCTGCCCATATGGACCAGTCCTAACACTGTCCATGGTGCCAGGCTCCAAGTCCATAAGCACAGCACGAGGGACATACCGCCCACAAGAAGCCTCATTGTAGTAGACATTGACACGCTCTAGCTGTAGATCTGAGTTACCAGTGTACCTTCCTGTTGGGTCTATACCATGCTCATCACAGACAACCTCCCAGAACTTGGAACCAATCTGGTTCCCACACTGTCCACCTTGAACATGGAGAATCTCTCTCATTTTTCCCAAGTTTTAATGAGAAAAACAAGTTATACGTCAAAACTAAAAATTGTAGATAGAAGGCCAGGTGAGTAAGATCTGTATCATCCCATTCAAAATTGGAAAACACCTTAGTTAACAAAAATGCTCAAATGAGATTAAAGAGACAAATTAGGATATGGAACTGAAAAGGTCCAATATTACTAAACTAAATCCATAGTAGAATTAAGTGAACAAAACATCAGAATTTTCCACCAAAAATTTAAAAAAAAAAAAAAAATCAATTTGAAACGATCTAAAAGTACTAAAGTAAATCCAGAATCAACAACCAGATTACATCTCTCTTTTTGAAACTTTGAAATAAGCTATATAATCTTATTTTGATGCAAGGGTTGGAGTACCCCCTTACTCCCTTTCCAGTGTCCCTTTTAACAAAATTCATTCTGCCGATTAAAAAACAACCAGATTACATGAAACGAGATGAAGTACCATACTAATTGAAAGAACAAAACGTAGTTAACCAACGCCAAACACTACGACTTGCAGAAAATTTAACTAAAAACGATAGCTAGCAAATGGTATGGCAATTGGCAAGGAAAAAACTTCAACCGCATCACAATTTACACACAGTGGCAACAGTCAACATAAAACTAGATCCAGCAAATTTTCTCTCAGAACAAACAAAAGTAGCAGTCCATAACTAATTTCGACATCAGACTTGAAAGTCTACTCGGATTGGGAAGAAATCTACCGTAACAAACTCAAATCAGTAGAAAATGCAGATCGCAAAGGAAACCCATCAATCGCCAAAGAAGGCACTAAACAATTTCGCGAAGCATATAATACTAACATCAAAAACAGAAGCATGGAAATCGTCGAAACTTCAATCGAACACAAGATCACGCAATGCAGAAGATTAAATTCAGCAGAAAACAGAAGATCTTCATTCTTCATGCAGCAGAACTCAAAACAACATGGACTTAGATCGATCCAAAGATTCATACAATCGCACTACATTAGATGCAGAATTCGAGATCTAACGAGATAAACAGTGAAATGAAATGAAGAACAGAAGAAGAGAGAAGAGAAAAGAGATCTACCTCTGTAAGATTCGGATGCAGAGCTTGAAGATGAGAGAGGTCAATGCGAATGCGAGTGCGAGGAAACTCCAGCAATGGGAGGGGAATATATATACAGGCTTCAGACCGACGGAAGTTCAGAGTGATAGTGAGGAGACAGTGACCTTTGTTTTTTTTTTTTTTTTTT